GCTTGGAATCCCAGTAATTGCAAGGAGAGAATTCAGTTTGTGATGCGTACATGGCTGATGGCCAAGCATTATTCAGTCCTTTTTAAGACCCCGATGCACCTGGCGACGACTGGGAACGTCGCTGGTTGAAGCGTTCTGTAACTGACACAGCAGACGGGAGGGGCAGTCTGAACAGCTATCCCATCCTTGAGCAGGTAATCAGCTGTATTGCATCAGACAGGAGGATATAGACACAGAAGGCACGGAACCCCGAATTTGAATGACTTGGTCACAGAAACAAGAAAATACCAAATCTGCAGCAAATGAAATGGTGGCCATAAACATACATGTGTTGAACGACCAAGCAAGAAAATGCATCCTTTGGCATATCAAAACCTTACCTAGGCCCATCACATGAGACACACGAAGTGTCGTTTGGTAGTTCAGTTAGTGGCGGAAAATAAATAAGCTCTCACATCACACTACCACGCCACGTAAAAAAAGAACATCAGCAGCCCCAATCCATCATGATCACCTGACGTAATCATGGCGTACCGCTCCGAGTCTAACGAGCTAGCTAACCACGTGACCAGGCTGCGGCCGGCACGAGCGCGGCGGCCCGCCAGTATGGCCATCGGTCTGCGATTACAGGTGAGCTAACACGCCAGCCGTGTTAGCTGACCGGTCACGCGACCTGCGACCCGGCGCCGGCGCTAGCACCAGCACTCGGCCACCGGCCGCCGGTCCTCGGCCGCCGGCCACCGGCACCGGCACCGACACCGGACACCGGCACTGACAGCGGCGCGGCGGCCGGGCGGACGGCTCACGCCAGTGACGCTCCCAGACCGCGCCTGAGCGAACGGTCCCCTGCGTGCGTGTGAGTGTGCGTGTGGGTGGGCATGGGCGAGGGCGAGGGCGAGGGCGTGTGCACATGCGTGAGCGTGTGCGTGTGCGTGTGCGCTGTGCGCGTGCGCGTGCGTGCGTGTGTGCGTGTGTGTGTGTGTGTGTGTGTGTGTGTGTGTGTGTGTGTGTGTGTGTGTGTGTGTGTGTGTGTGTGTCTGTGACGAACATCGGACACACCACTGCCCGAGGCTGTCCGCGCAGCCGTCCGCTGAGAGGAGGTTGACCCGGGGGCCGAAGTTTGCCGCGGTTGTCGGAGACAAGGAGCAAGTAGCACCGACCAGCTGCGGTGTTGAGACGCGCCTGGAGCGTCGCTCCGATTTACTAGCAGCTGACCGACGCACTTCCATCCGACAACCACGCTTCCCGTAGTGTTGTGCGTTGTCGCCGAGCACGTGACAGCAGAGGGTCGGCCTTGTGTGGAGACGACGCCCGGGGTTCGGGTCGCGGCAAACATCACGCTGCTGTCGCGAAATCGTCAGCCCGGTATCATCGAGGGACCGATGCGCCGAGTCCAATGAGGTACGATCAGCTTCCCACCGAATGGTTTTGATTAAAGTCTGATGCAACCCGTACCTCGGGGATGTGACACCACTTGTGGCTGATGAGCGACTGTGCGACCGGGCTAGATTAATTCAGATTTCGGCGCATGCCAATGCATCGTAATATACATGCTCCCTTGCGACGCATGAAATTGGCTCCTTTCAAGATGAAATTATTCATTGCAGCATCACGTTCTTCCACGTTTCATGCAGGGCAACGCTCAAGCTTTTAAGATTGGGCACTACTCTGGAGAAAATGCGGCACCATTTTTTCTTTCCTTGGCACAAAGCTAGAGCACCCAGTGAAATGATACCATTTCCTGTAGCGAATGCCAGATTTCTCATGCCGCAATGTCTACGAAAGTTATTATGAAGGACATTTAAGCGTATGCTCACACCTTTTCTTATCATACTCACCCACCCAATCGAGGAAACACAGGTGAAATACATTCAAACATTCCCATGTAAGATGTGGTGGGATGCTTGCACTCCGGTGCCAGGCAATTGCATACCCGTGCGGGCTTGTTAATGCTGCTTGCCGTTAAGCACTAACATATCACATCAATGCATCTAGCCTTCAGATTGCGTGATAGCATAACAAAGGCAAGTCGAGCTTAGCCACCATGAGCAATTCAAACCCAGATCCTGCAACCAGGAAATATGTGCAGCGGTCCTTATCTAGGAAAGATCGGAACGTTTGAAGTTAATCATGAGCCAGATTGAGATCTTCGATCTTTCAGCCTCACCGGTGCTAAAGGCCTTGGACTAGACGATGGTCAGCTGTTGGTGACGTTATGAGCCTACAGAAGTACGCAAGTTTATATTTTTAGATGATGTGTTTCCACAAAAACTCCATTGAATAGCTGAACCGCTAGTCCCCACTGTATTGAATTCAGTAGAAATATTGAAAAACTCAACTTCAAAGCACGAAGTGACAAAAAGAGTGCGTTGAGCGGACAACCTTAAAACATGGCTATGGGACACTGAAAAGTGTCATGCTTTGCCACTTTATTTTACCAAGGGTATGCTGTCATTACGCAAGCACATATGTTTGCGTGAGGTCATCCACCTCGCGCAAACTAACAACCAGACATATTACCCCGTTACACTCACGAACGCGATTACAACGACCTAGCTTTTCTCATAATTTGCTGTTCACTCGCATGACAGTTTGCCGGGCCGATCGATCAACAGCAGTAAAAATATTACCTGGTTGCTGTGCCCGCACTCAGTTTGGCCTCATTTATGAATCACGTTTTCATTCACCACTATATGTCACGTGTGGTGAGGTCATCGTTAGTGCACGAGAACATCGCGCGTTTCACATTAACTTGCCTTCATTATTAACAGTGTTCTTATTGTTCCGTGATGGCACCCGTGCTCCTGAGCATATTTGGTAAAATTTGTAAGTGTGCCTATAATATACCCTCACTTATTTTACAGCTTGCGTGGCTTGTCCCTCCTGTTGGCGTTGTACTCGTGGATTTACGTGGCCCATGAAGCACTGGCTGTTCGGACAGCACGGTGACAGGCGCTTCTACATATTTGTTTTATTTATTTATTTACGTGTTCAGTTATCTTTTGATTAGTGAATGTTCGACATTATGAGTTCAAATTCTTCGTGTTGAGTTAGCGACCGCCAATACATCAGGACAGCTAGAAATCCTTGCATCTTCAAGAGTCTTAATCATGAGCAGGGCTTGAAATATTGAAAGCTGTGCATGCAATCTTTGATTGGGATTACATCGTCGTTAAACCAGTGCCGCCTGGTATATTGGAGATCGCGAACTCAACATAAGAGCTTTCAACTCACAATGCCGACAAACCATAAGCTGAAGGCCGCCCTGTCTTATATTAAGAATGTTCGGCTCACCTAGGGAGTGTAGCTAGGGTTACCAACCGTACTTAGCGGAAGGTCTCACTGATGTCCAGGTCGGCTTTAAAGGTCGTTTCTGTTTTAGGGAGGGAGTTTCTAAAGAGGTCAGGTTTTCTTTGACCTTTGAGCATCATATACCTACATGCATTCAGAACCAATGCACAGCTTGTGATCAGAGTCTTCAAGCATAATCATGTGTGAGTAGATCCTCGAGTTCCTGCGACACGCCAAAGCCCGAGTAGATCTGAACGACGAAGCCCCGGTGAATATTCCCGGCCCGACCACCGCCAGTTCATTAATCCTTTCGTCCGTCTCTTCTAGTCCTTGGACATGCCTACCTCCCGCTTCAGTGTGCTAACGGGTATCGATGGGTTACGCATGAATAAGTAACAACGACCATCTTCCCGCTGCATTTTAGGATGGCTCTGGATGTGAGCTCGATAATAAATCGTACCCATGCATCAGCTGCTTTGCAATGATGAAGCCCGGACCCAATTTGATCAAAGTTCGCCGTAATTTATTGCTACGAAACTGAATCATCCAAAAAATGGTTGCGAGTTTTACTCCACACACAAACAAGTGCAAACTATTTCCGAAGAAAATAGAACATCTATTGCTTTCACAGCACACGCAAAGGTAAAACGTAGCTGTTTTGAAGCGGGTTAAGCCTAACGACCGCTTGGCACTAACATTCGGGGTTATTCAATGACGATGTTTTAACATTATTTATCATTGTTCCACTCTTCCTCCAAGCAGAAGTGTTGAGCCTTAGTATCTGAGTTTCGTTCAGGGTATATTTCAAGATCAGACCAAGGACGGGGTTGGTAAAGGCTTTCTCTGGAAAGCTGATTTGCTGAAATAAAAATTCATCTTTATCAAATGGTTTGCCTGTTCATGCCGTAGACTACTGGAATTGACTTATCGCTTTGTATGTACGCGCTACGGCCATCTGTTGACTGCCTTTTAGTTGCGATGTATTCTTGCGTGTATAATCCAGTTCTTCACCCAATTTTAGTTCCAGCACTGCATCTATGTCATGCTGTTCTGACAGCCCTTATAGTCATGTGCGTTTAAGCACTGTGTCTTCTCACCGGTGACGTCAAACCATTGCTGCGCTCAGCGTTGAGGATATTTAAAACCAAATAATGAAGCAGTGGATGCTTCAACTAACCACTTCCATCAGTCACCATACGAAGTACGAAATTTCGTTTGCGCCGAACTTCGCGTTTAAGGTCAAAACATCAAATTACCTGCACTGAGAAGCGTCCTCCCTCTCTCTCGCTCTCTCCATTTTTCCTGCCAAGGTCGTCGGCATCACCGCCGTAGGCATCACCTCAGTGGTGTCGGCGGTGTTTTTGCGACCTGAGTCGAGCCATTTTTCAGATAGTTAAGACATATGTGAACATAACTCACATTTCTAGGAAGAAAAAACACCGTTGTCGGAAACGTCTATCTGGGACAGCGTTGAAAGTTTCCTCGAGAGTAAAGACATACAAGGCATCATAATATAATCGCGTGATTAATTGTGAAAATATTTCGCTCACGTGACGCTACTGTTGCGATATGAGCTGTGCATGATACGTGTTCAAACTAGGACCTGGCAAAAAGCAAGCCTTTCTCTAGCGTATATGTCAGTAAGGATACACATAACAAGAATACCGGAATTATCAAAGTCCGATCAGCATGGCGGCGTCTCGACTCACCTGCGGCGGCCAGGAGCGTCAACGTCAGCAGCAGCATCAGCAGTGACGTCCAGAGGCGGTCTCTAAGGCTGCCGCCGTGGCACATGGTCCCTGGGGGGTGTCGCCGGCTCCTGGCAGTCTCGACACGTCCGCGCCGGCCTCAGCGTCGGCCGGCGGGTCGGCCTGGCAAGCCTCGCGCGCTGGCCCGCCGGGGGAGGCGCGGCGACGGGCGAGAGTGGGGGACGATTCCGGCTCTGGGGCGGAGGACACGGTGGACTCAGGGGATGGGGATGACTGGGCGGAGAGATGCCAGCGCTGAGGGATGCCTGCGCCAGGAACGGACGGGGAGATGCGAACGCCGCAGGACTGGAGATGCCTGGACGAATACGGGACGCGGGCGCCTCAGACAAGAATAAGGATCGGCGCTGGCCTGTAGAACAAACAGCGGAACGTCAGAACGCCGCGCCAACCGTGGCATACGACGGCCCCAGCACAGACGGAGAGACACCACCACCTCGGGGCAAACAGCTGGACACCACACCCTCGAAGCCACTGATGGGGCGCGGGCGCCTGGCGGAGCGTCGGCGGCGTCCGACCACCCCAGGCCGCAGCCGCACCTGAGCTGGCGTCGTTTTCGACGGCCGGCCGGGCGGCGCCGACGCGCGTCGGCGTCGGCGGGGGGCGTCGCCAGCGCAGTCCGATACACTGACAGATGGCCCGATGGGGTCTGCGGCGCGCGCGTGCTGCGGCTTGCAATTGCGTGTGTCAGGCTCGGCCGCGGAGGGTCGCAGTCTGACCGTGTCCCTGTTGTTTGGGTGTTGCTGCGGCCGCAGGTGGCGTGGAGAGGTGCGGTGCGAGAGGGTACGGTCGAACCGCGGTCACACACCGGGTTTTATTTATGGCGTGATTACCTGGCTCGTGTCGGGAATCTATTGGGTGAATATTTCGTGGGAACGAAGTATGGATGGGTGAAAGCTGTTGCGCGGTGGAATTAGCTCGATATTGAGGAAATCGCATAATTATGCATCGTTCAACTGGCAATTCAGGGAGGGAATGACAAAACCCGGGCACGAATACAACCAAACGTGATGGCACAGGAGCCGGCAGAGTTATTTCTGTGTCTTTAAAATAGGGCACCAAGTGGTCGTAAGTTTCCCCAGAGCATTTTGCATGGCAAGACGTCAGCGGCACCGCTTGGCCGATGTCAACCGTGGATTTTCAAGGTTTCTCCGTTCCATTAGGAGAATGAATACGCAAAGTGGGGGTCGTTTCGTAGATGGGGGCAATACGTGGCCTATGGCGGGGCGGCGGTGGTTAGCCGACAGACGTTGCTTAGATGACGGTAATATATTTGAAAGAAAGCACTCTGGGTCTACAAGCTATGGCGACTAGCGACATGGGCCATAACTGACTACAATATACGAACCTAGCGTATTGGGTATATTGTAGACTAGTTTTCCAATTCAGAACGACGTTACCTCTAATTTTATACTTTTAACCCTAGAAAGGTATATATATTTTAGTTGTTACCTGCTTTAGCTCGAAGACTGCCAGCCGAGGGATGACGATGACACCGGCCTCGGCTGACAGCTCTGGGCTGTATGGCTACTCGGTCAGCTGTTCGGTGAGGTCGGCCGGCGCTCAGTCGCAGCCCTACCTGCTCAGTCCAAGCACCGCCTGGTCAATCCCAGCCCCGCCTGGTCGTTCGGAGCCCTGTCTGGTCGGTCGGACCGCTGCCTGGTCGGTCCCAGCCCTGTCTGGTCGGTCGGAGCCCTGTCTGGTCGGTCGGACCGCTGCCTGGTCGGCCGCAGTCCTGCCTGGTAAGTCGGAGCCCCGCCTAGTCGATCCCAGCCCCGCCTGGTCAATCCCAGCCCTGCCTGGTCGGTCCCAGCCCTGCCTGGTTGGTCGGAGCCCTGTCTGAGTCCTTTGTGAGCCTAGTCGGTCCTAACCACGCTTGGTCGGTCGGAGCCCTGTCTGGTCGGTCGGAGCCCTGTCTGGTCGGTCGGACCGCTGCCTGGTCGGTCGCAGTCCTGCCTGGTCGGCCGGAGCCCCGTCTGGTCGGTAGGATCCCTGCCTGGTCAACCCCGGTTGTGCATCGTCGTCTGGTGCGAGAGCAAGATGAGGGGTTTCTTCCATGGAGCGGATGCTTATGCTGTCCCTCTGAAGTTGTCTCCCACTGATGAGTCAGTGACCTTCACGGGTACGATTCCCTGCATCCAGTCCATCCGCCATCTATGGGACTGTGTCCATACCCAGCCACTATCCATTCCAAATCAGTTGTCACCACTCGTTGGCATTTTTTCTAGCAAGCATATTCTACACTTTTGATACGTTTGGGGAAAGTCTTGACTCAAGCTTCCTTTTCGGCACTGATAATTAGAACAATAGTATGAACGAAGCTGCTTATGACTAAAAGAGTGCAAGCAGTAACATATCGTAGCATTTGTTGAGGTATATACTCGATATTTCGCGGGAGTCTTACCGATACGAGTACATATATCACTAATTTCCCAAAATATGGGCCCAATTCAACTCATTACCCATTATATGTAACTGCCCGAAAGCTTACCCAGTCCGTGAAATACTTTATCTATCACCCTCATATTTTCGTTCATTCTCGGCACGCGTATTACACCACACCAGATTCAAATTAGGGCCCCAATTGTGACGTGTGGCGTGATTTGGTTACGACGTGTGTTGTGATTTGATTGGCTGCACCTGCTTGTGACGCGTGTGACGCGCATAGAATCATCCTCCACCCCGGAGAGTGTGTCAGAGAAGCTGTCGGTAGCGGCCCGCGGAGACGGTCGCGCGTCGCTGGGTGCTGGCGGGCGCTAGAGGCCGCGCACCACGGCGGTCAGGGACACCGTTTAGTCAGTCAGACGGCTCTGAGATTTTAGGCGTCTTGAGTGGTGCAGTCGTGCCGATCCGTGCCGATGGTATGCACATTTGGTGAGATATCTCTTCGTAAAAGCCGAAAGCCGCGAAACCAAGGTCCACCCGACTAGCACCAGACCCTGACATCAACTGAAGGGTTTGAAAGACAACGGGGACGTCGACATTCCTAGAAGCTGTCGTCTCTGGCATTTCCAACCAGAGATGAAGTTTGTATTCTCCGAAAATACCAATTATATGTCAAGAGAAAGGCATATGAAAGTAAGACAACGAAAGCGCAAGTTTACCCGATAAGCGTATCCATCTGCATGCTGGTGCAAGGGTGCGAATATTATCATATTCACCGCGATAAGCATGTGAAACGACGTGGTGAGATGACAAATTTCGCAATCAACAAACTGAACCGGCGCCTGCTTTTGCGCTATGAAATAAAGATGGATGCTCTCTTGTGAAAGCAATTGGCGAGTAAGGTTGGACCGCGCGATATAGTTCTTGATGAGTAATCTGCTAATACCACCTGCTCAGGTTAGAAAACTGACGAATGTGTTTTAAATACAGAGTGGTATCATGAAGCAATCCACCCAGGAATAATATGTTTAGAAAGCAGAAATACACAACACAAAATGCATGAAATAATAAGTTATAGGAATTGCCACTAATTTTCAACCTTTTGATCCACAACACTTTACACACACACACACACACACACACACACACACACACACACACACACACACACACACACACACACACACACACACACACACACACACACCACACACACACCACACACACACACACACACACACACACACACACCCACACACACACACACACACACAACACAGCACACACACACAACACACACACACACACCACACAAGACACACACACACACACAGGCACACACACACACACACACCACACCACACACACAAACACACACACACACACACACAACACACACACCACACACACACACACACACACAACCACAGACATCACAGCACACCCACACACACACAATCACACCACACACACACACACACCCACACACACACACACACACACACACACACACACACACACACACACACACACACACATCACACACACCACAGAACACAACACCCCACACACACACACAACACACATACACACACACCACACACACACACAGCACACACATCACACACACACCACACCCACAACACACCACAACAACAGACACACACACCTTACGCCTCCAGAGCTGCAGTCATTGCCCCAGCCCGGGCGGATAGCTTTGCCCACACCGGCGCTCGATATCGCGATGCATGTTTTCCAGACTGCTACGGCCGGCTCGTCTCCCGGGCCTCATGTTTGATGATCATAGAGATAAATGGCCCCGAAAAACACATCACGTAAGCAAGATCCATCACTTGACGTCGATACAACGGGCTCTTGACGAGGCGCAGCGGTGTGCTTCGGGAAGTGTCGGACTCTTTGGACGAGCCTCCTGAAGTGTCGGACGCTTTGGACGAGCGCCGGTCTGGCCTGGGCATGGAAATCGTGTGCCGCCAATAGTGCGAAGCTGCAGTCTTGTCTCGCACTTCTTGCAGACGCATAATGGCGCTAAGGCGTTCTAATAAGCCGCCCTCCATTATTCATGCAACGGTTATTGTGTTACATCACATTAAGACCGCTGATTTAATATTGACGGCGCGATGGGGGCTGCGGCAGACGCAGCAATAGTTGACGACATTTCCAGCCATACGAGACACAGGAGACTTTTTTGCTTCTCAAGACAGCGTACGTCTGAGGATGCCGAATCTCTGAGCCCGAAATCCCTCGGGTCTGACGCACTGATTGCAGCTAGGTCGTCTCCAATCTGAAGCAGCCGTCCCACGTCAGAGCTCCATTTAAGACCACCAATTTCGCCATCATTCTGTTTTTCCCCTCGGATTTTTCCTCTTAAGAATGCATAACAATGGCTCTTGTTGCGTCGTCTTCTAAATTATTCGCCTCGACGTGCTGTCAGCGTCAGTGCCTCAGATATTCGCCGAGCAGGGGCGCGGGGAGGGGTATCCGCCGCGTGAGGTGGAGCAGCGAGGAGGGGGACAGCCAGCCCACGGTGGTGCGGTGGCGCGCGATTGCCCATTGCATGGCTGTGGAACGGGCAGCGAAGGCACAGGTGGGACCACCACTGGTGGGGTGGTAGGCTGACGGTAT